ATTAATAGTTGCTTCACATAAACGTCAAAATATCTGCATGTTTATGTAGGTTTAATCTTAAGAACATGTTTTACTCACAACTATTTTAATACAATTATTTTCATATTTATTATTCATATTCCTGAATTCATTCACACATTCCTACAACTGTTCATATTAGATTAAAAAAAGAAAATTTAAAGAATGTCCTGCACTGTCAAAAAGTAACTAAGAATTAGAGTAAAACAATAAAAAAACATTTGTATCATAAATATTGTCTTAACACCTTAAAACATTGTAACAAATGTGTAACTCCAACAGAACATTCAGATAATACCTGGACCTAGATGACTACAGAGCTCTTGTCATCTAGAACATGTTTTTATAACAAAATATGAACTTTAACAATAAAAAGAGCAGAAATATATTCATACTGTATATTATTGAGAAATCAGTTACTAACAAACATCCATGCTACACATTTATCACTAAAACATGGAAATGATCAGATTAAATTCAGTCACAACACTTTTATTCTGTTTGACAGTAAGATGGTAACAAGTGATTTAAACTAAACATTTGATTCCAGCAACTAATGAAACTTTATTTTATTGAACATCTCTTTCAGTTTCTACTGTCCATCCTAACTCAGTCTCBTCTGCTCTATCCTGTAACAGTAGCGCCCTCTGGTGACGAGGAGAAAATAACAGCAACCAAACAGAACTAATGCAGTCAAACGTTTACATACATTTTCTTAGTGTTTGGTATCATTGCCTTCAGAATGAATGACTTGAGTCTAAGTTTTGGGTATCCTTCCATAATTTCTGTCAGTAGTTTGCTGGAGTTTTGYCTGGTTCTCCCTGACAGAACAGGATGAACTGACTCAGGTTTGTAGGCTGCTCTTTTCAGTTTGGACCATTAACTTTGGTGTTCATACACACCCAAGGATGAAGCAGAGTTGTGCAGGTCAACAGTTTTCTTCCTGATGTCAGGACTGATTTATTTTTGATTGTTCCTGGAGTCCCACACAAAGAAACAGTGTTTAGGGTCAGCCTTAAAATGTGTCCACAAGTGTGTCTGTAATCACTCCAATAATGTCATCTAACATATTAAAGTTTCCAGATCCATGGCATCATCATCTGGACTTTCATAACTTGTTAAAAAGCAACATAGTCTTAGTTTATCTGAAGTGTGTGTAAAGACAAACTGATGTTTCCTCCTGTGTGGTTTCAACTTAGGAGTCATATGAGTGCTTTGTTTTAGTGTGGATTCCCATGTGTCTCTTTAAACTGCTCTGTTCAGTAAACCTTCGATCACACAGCTCACAACAAAATGGTTTCTGTCCTGTGTGGATTCTCATGTGTTTGTTTAAATTGCACTTTTCAGTAAACCTTCGATCACACAGCTCACAACAAAATGGTTTCTGTCCTGTGTGGATTCTCATGTGTGTGTTTAAATGGCCCTTTTCAGTAAACCTTCGATCACACAGCTCACAACAAAATGGTTTTTGTCCTGTGTGGATTCTCATGTGTGCGTTTAAATGACTCTTTCTGGTAAACCTTCCACCACACAACTCACAACAAAATGGCTTCTCTCCTGTGTGGCTTCTCATGTGCTTGTTTAAACTACCCTTTTCAGTAAACTTTCCACCATACAACTCACAACAAAATGGCTTCTCTCCTGTGTGGATTCTCATGTGTTTGTTTAAACTGCCCTTTTCAGTAAACCTTCTACCACACAGCTCACAACAAAATGGCTTCTCTCCTGTGTGGATTCTCATGTGTTTTTTTAAACTGCCCTTTTCAGTAAACCTTTTATCGCACACCTCACAACAAAATGGCTTCTGTCCTGTGTGGATTCTCATGTGTCTGTTCAAAGTACCTTTAGTATACCTTCGACCACACAGCTCACAGCACAACAGCTTCCGTTTATTTTTGTTKTTTTTAACACCTGATTYAGGAACCCTGCTGGGAGAAGTCTCACAGTCTTTATCAGCGCCTTCAGTTTTTGACTTAGAGTCTGCTATGTGTTTAAGSTGAGAGTCAGGATTATTCACATCATCATCCTCTTCATCCTCACTGACTTCAGTTTCTGAGGAGTCAGAATCCTGAGCTGAGCTGCTGGTTGGAAGATCTCTGACTTCAGCTTGGTGTTGATGAAGGTGTAAGAACAGAGGTTTATCTTCATCATCCTCATGCTTTAAAGGAACTGCAGTGAATGTAAAGTTGGTGGCATCAGTCTCCTCCTTCACATTGAGCTGCTCTGCTCCCAGACTGGTCCACAGTTCCTCCTCTTCCTCTTTTATATGGAGATGTTCTTGGTCCTGCTGGTCCACATCAGTCTTCTGTTCTTCAGGAGCTTCTTCTTTAATCAGCAGCTGAMCCCCTTCAGGAACCACTGAAACACATGAACAGGACATTAAAGGAGAACTGTAGTTTTGTATTAGGGCTACAATGATTAGTCAACATAATCGATGAYGTCAATTATGAAAATAAGTCGACGCGGAATTTGAACGTCGACGCATCATATTTTTTACCCACTGAAATGTTCATTTGTAACTGCAATGCAATTCATGAACTGCTGGGGGCAGAATGGCTTCTATTGTCTGCAGTGGCATTGTTTACAAAAGAACATGGCGTGCCAATCTGCAATCCACAGAAGAAGCCGCAGGTAAATATAAGAGCGACAATATTGGTGGAACAGAGACGACTGCATCAAAAAGGAAGAAAAAAAAAAGACAAACTTTCCAAAGTTGGCTACATTTGACCAAAAACCAACAAAAGAAAGTAAAATGCAGACTCAGTTATTCCATGGCAGGACAGCAGGCGTAAAAACATGATCACATCATGAGATGCTAACATGCTACAGCCATCCTCTGTTGATGGGTAAGTTTCATAATGTTTGTTCGTCAGGTTGAAACGGTCATAAATATTACTTTCAGTGACTGGTCACTTTGTTCTGAAGACAGCTGTTTATAAGTTTTGTTAGCTTACCATCAGAAAACAGTGACTGTTGAAAGTAGAGCTATCAGTTTTGCTAACGCTTCATATTAAATCACTAAATTATACTAATAGTCCATTGCGTCTAATCTTATCCTGTTTTTTGAGGACGTTAAAGAACTTTTGACTTTGATTTCACATAGGATGGATTGTTTAGATGGATGGATTTTAAGCCAAAATGAAGTGTGTCGTGTGCTCTTTTTCCAACTGTAGTCACCCTTCACGTTACGGAAGGCAGGCAGGCATGCGTCTTGAGCTCAGCGCTCCCCCATTAAGATGCCCTGTGACAAAACTCTTGTCTTTTGTTCTCAGTGTCTGGCTGATCGCATCCAAGTCATTATACCGTGTTTTTTGGACTATCAGCCGCGACCTTTTTCCTGAACTTTGAACCATGCGACTTATTATCTGGTGCGGCTTATACATGGATTTTTTTCTTCAGCCACCAGGGGGCTCTTATGCTCTATTTGATTCAACCACTCGCATCAAAAGAAGAAAAAAATAAAGAAAAAAGCAATCGCTTCTAGAGCCAACTGTTGACCAGGAAGCAGTGATTTAAAGACAGTCAGTGGCCAAAAACTCATAAAAGGGGATAAAAC